GGCAGACTGCTAACATTTTGCTTACTGGGTATATATATAAATAAATAAATATATATATATATATATATATATATATATATATATGAAATTACTCAGGAAGACCTGTCCTACAATATATTTAAAAATGAATCAAATCGGAGGAGGCCTCTTTTATTCGTAATTACCGATTCGTGAGATAGCGGCACATAAAAACATCCTCTTAAGAGAAGCAAATATTTATTTAAATGGAACGACATTTAGACCAACTACTTTGTTGACAGATAGCTATGTTGATTTCCCGCGATTGACTGCTTCGTCGGTGGCTTTCTCAGGTAGCCCTTTTTCTTCGACGGTCCCAGTGGGATCCTCCCCAGGAGGACCGCTCGGTGGCGCGGAGGATGGTCCTCCTCCTCCGTCTTTGTCTTCTGCGATTTCGTCGGAGACGTACGCCCAGGCCTCGGGTCATCCTGGCTTCTTGCGTTCTTCGCCGGGGAAGGATTCCGCTCTTGCGTCGGGATCCGGCGTGTTCCGCTCGTCGTCCTCGTCTTTGTCCTCTCGTCGTCGTCAGGATGGGGCACTTCTTTCGATTCCTAACGGGCGTTCCCACTCCTCATTTGAGATTTGAGATGGCTCTAGGCGCACGATGCGCTACGCCCTCGGGACCGGGTCTGGGAGTGGGCAGGGGGGAGCCCCCTTTGCCTTCTTATCGCCCTTCAGCATCCCCTTTTTCTGGGGACAAGTTTGCTGTCCGTCTAGATTCGCTTGTGGAGAAGTTTGCCCCGTTTTTGAGAATGTTCGGAATTTATAAAGAGATCTCGTTCTTGATTGATTGAGAATGTTCGAAATTTATAAAGAGATCTCGTTCTTTGACTGCTTTTCTGAGTACCGTGACTCGGAATGGAGAATCTCTGAGTAATAATATTGCCAATAAAAATGAATAACTCTCCTTTTAACTTTAATTATCCTTTGCGTATTTTGCAATGGAACTCTCAATCAGTAAGAAACAAAATTGATTCGGTAAAGATTTTATCAAAGGATTATGATATTTTGATCATTTCGGAAACATGGCTGTCAGCAGAGCCCCTCTTACCTGATTTTTTCGTTTTTCGCAGGGACTCGGTTTCTTTGAATTCTAGAGGTCTCCTATTAGCCATCCGCAGGAATATTCCCTACAGTCTTCTGGAAAACTCCATTTTTCCTGTAAATGATTTAGAATTTCAATCTGTGCAAATCCATTGTAAAAATTTCGATCTTACCATCTTCTCAATTTACAGACACTCGCAGCTTTCTCTTTCTAGGAAAGATTATTTTGATCCTTTTAAGTTCTGTAACTCATTCTCGCATGTCCTTCTATTCGGAGATTTTAATGCACATCATTTGTCGTGGGGATGTGGGAGGGAGTGCCCGGACGGCTCCCGTCTGTATGACGCTGCTCTTCAGCATTCATTTGTTTGTATGAATGATGGCTCTTCTACCTTTCTTACTAGACCGGGTCAGTTGAGCTCGGCCATTGACTTCGCCTTTGCCTCTCCATCAATGATGAACTTATGTGACTGGTCCGTCTTGAGGGACACCTTTTACAGTGACCATTTTCCCATTGAAATTAAATTTATTATACAATTACAAAGCGCCCCTTTTTTTCGTATAGGACAAAATTTTCGGCCACAGAATGGAAGTCTTTCACTGAAGGAATCCTTACTACTCATCATCTTTTGAAATTGCAACAACCAATTACTGATGATAATGTCCTTGCAAATTACGAGATCTTTGTTGAACACATAAAGGGTTTTTTTCCGCGAAGATCCGTTTCGGATCGAACGGCGTCTGCTCCCTCTTTTTCTCCAAAATCTCTTCCAGTTAAACATTCCTCTCCAGCACCGTGGTGATCTGACAGCTGTCAGAAAGTGGTTGATCTTAGACACGAATTCCTTAGGGAATTCAAGAGAAATCCATCCCTTACAAATTATATAGCTTTTAAAAAACAAAAAGCAGTTTCCAATAAAGTTCTCAAACATGAAAAAAGAGAAGGATGGAAATTTTTTTGTAATAAACTTAGTCCTGATACTACAATAGATTATATATGGAAAATTATAAAACGTTTCAAAAATAAACATCTTGGTTCTTCCTCTTCTCCCTCTCAGCCTAATAATTTTATTTCCGGGGAGGCAGCAAAGGTCATTGACTCTCTCTGTCTTCCCTTTGCTTTTCATAACAGGTTCACTTCTATTAGAGATATCCTACAGGGTAATGGTTGTAATATATTTAATAAGCCATTTTCATTGAATGAATTTAAATCAGTTATTAAATCCTCTAAATTCCGTTCTTCCCCAGGTTTCGATCAAATTGATTATAGAATAATTTTATCTCTACCTGAAACGAATATTTGGAAACTTTTCTTGAAATTTTCGAAGCTCTTTTATCGGCGGGAAAAATTTTACCTTCGTGGAGCTATTCCTTTTTAATTCCTAAGGCAACAAAGGGTAAATTTAGACCGATCTCGCTTACTTCTTGTCTATTAAAATCATTAGAGAAGTTGATTTCGGTTCGATTAGTCTGGTGGCTTGAGTCATCTGGTATTCTTCCGGAATCACAGAATGGATTCCGTAGGGAGAGATCCTGTATAGATAATTTGGGAAATCTGACAACCGAGATTATTACCGGTTTCGTTTCTGGAGAGACTACTGCCTGCCTTTTCCTTGACATTGAGGGGACGTTCGACATTGTGGTCCCTAACATTTTGACGGAGGATTTGGTGGAGATGGGCCTTCCGTCGCGAATTATCTGGTTCATTAATCAGATGATTGGTCGAAGAAGCCTACAATTTGTTGTTAATGGAGAGATCTCGTCTCTTTACAGCTCTAAGGCTGTACCTCAGGGTTCAATTCTCAACCCGCTTTTATTTAATATTTACACACTAAAATGTAAAGATTTTCTTTCTAATAATTGTCAGATTTTGCAGTTCGCTGATGATATTGCATTATTCCACAGATCCGGAAACGCTCTGAGATCGGCGAGAATTGTTGAGAAATCCGCCCTTTCACGATTCTTGTCGCAGAGGGGCTTGATGGTTTCCCTCTCCAAATCTGCTCTGATTATGTTTGACAAAAAAAGAAATAGTATTGCTAACATTTCTATTACCCTAGACGGCCTTGTATTAAGATCTGTACAATCACATAAATTCTTTGGTGTGATTTTAGACCGTAAACTCCAGGGACATGAACATGTTCACTTTCTTACCCGCAAATGCAAAAGTTTTGTTAGCATAATTAGGGCAGTGAGGGGAATCTGGTGGGGGGCGAGCCCGAAGACTCTTTTGACTATTTTTAAGGGCCTTATTCGAGGATCTGTCGAGTATAGTAATATTATCTTTCCTATTCATAATGTGAGTCTTTTGGAGCTGCTTGAGAGAGTGCAGAGAGGAGCTCTCCGATACTGTATAGGTTTGCGCAATTCCACTCCAACAAATGTGGTTTACGCAGAGACGGGTATTTCTCCCCTTAAACAGCGTTTTTTATTTTTGTCTTCAAAATTTATTTTAAAATCTATGGCGTTGGCCTCGAATCCTCTCATCGATAAATTGAAGGATTTACAAGTCGCAATTCTTGTAAACAGAAATAAGCACAATCCGGAAGAAAAATTTTTTTATCGTGCTTTCTGTTTGAATAGAAATTAGAGTTTGTATAGAAATTCCAAAAATATATTGGCAGTGTTTACAAGGATTCTGCTTTATCTCTTTGACCTGGAAATGTCGTCCTTTGTCCCTTCGGTCGAATTTGTTTCGGAATCTATGGTCGACGAGATTCGTTTATTTAAATACCCGCAATTAATATTCCAACAATCCCTGCAACGTTTAATTATTAAGAGACATATCTTTTTCACAAATGCATAAAAAAAAGTGATTTAGATTTGTCTGTAGGATTTTCCTTCTATTCGCCTACTATGAATGTTCAGAGGATGTTTAAATCTAATAAAAATACTTCAATTTACTCGGGGGAGTGTCTTGCCCTGATAGAAGTGGTGAGTTTTATTAGAAAACAACATAAATAGGGCCACATTGTTCTCTGACTCCCGCAGCGTCTTGGAAACAATTTCTAGAGGTGGGCTGAATAGAGACTCTAATTATCTTATCTTGGTTCTCAAGAACAAGCTTAGGTCAGCTGATTTGCAGGGCATAGAAATCATTCTTTGCTGGATTCCATCCCATGTGAGAATTTTGAGGAATGAGACCGCGGATTTTCTCGCTGAGGAAGCAACGGAGAGGGGCGAACAATCTGAATATCTTGTTCCTCACTCAGATTTATATGCTCTAGCAGAAAAAAACTTAATTGAATCCACTAATAGCATTCTCTTCTTACAGTCCCTTCAGAAGGGCTCTTCTTATTTTGAACAATTTAGTCCCTTGTCCCTCTCTCCTTGGTTTGATAAGCTCGATCTTGGACGCGCAGAAATTGTCACAATCTATCTGAAGTAAAATTTTCCTCGGAGAGTACGTTTTGGAACCGTTATCAACCAGTTGAAATCCTAGTTATTTCTGTTTACGGTCAACTTTATCATCATTTCTATCGTCTTCTAGGGGTACGTTCCAAAACGTACTCTCCGAGGAAAATTGTACTCGATAGCCGTTGTGAAACTCTTTTAAGCGTTTCCGATTGGTTAGAATCAGCCTTCAAGTAAAATTTTCCTCGGTTACTTGCGTTTTGGAACGTAACCTAGCATACATAAAGCTAAAGTAATATTCTGATTGGTTCTTCAGCTTACGTTTACGTTTTACATTTATGGTTATAACAATTCATGTGCGAAAGTCTTAAGGCCGTGGCACATAAAAAAAAATAAGCAGTAAGACTTAAGCAGTAATCCGTAAGCAGTAGAATCAAGGCACACAGTAAACTTAATATGTTACTTTCTACCAATCACAGTATTGCAATGCTTTTCGATGAGTTTTAGAACACACTTTATGCAATAGCATAAAAAATATTTTAAAGTGTCTAACCTAAATGAAAGGAAAATAATTATATATTTATCGGGATGACAATATATAAAAAGAAAGAAAATATTATATAGTATAGATTAATTCTAAGCATTTACCTATATTTAATTAGAAATGTGTGTGTATATTTTGATGATATTTACAATTTGAAATAGAAATATAATATCATTGTTCTCAAAGATATTCAAAATTGCTACAATTTGTAATGTTTGTTTTACAGACAATGGATAACGAAGAAGATCTAGCGTATGTATTAGTTGTACTAATGATTGGTACATATATATTAAAAAGACAAACATCTTTTCGTTGGATTAATAGAAAATATTGGGTGCGACCAATTAATATAAGACGTCCCATTCAAGGAGATTTTGATCATTTATTACAAGAAATGAAAACTGATCCTTATATGTTCTTCAGATATACCAGAATGTCCGTAAATGTTTTCAATCACTTATTAGAAATAATGAAACCATTCTTAACCAAAAAGAGTCATCGTGCCTTAGTACCAGAGCAACGTCTTGCTTTAACTTTAAGGTTTGTATCTCTTTTAATAACTATAATGTATATTAAAAGAAGTGTTAACATACTGATTTAGTCGATCTGTGTTCATTATTATAGATATCTCGCCACAGGAAATCAAATCTTGTCTATTGCGTTAGCATACAGAATTGGAGAATCTACAGCGAGAAATGTAATTAAGGAAACTTGTGCTATGATCATAAAAGTATTGTCACCGATATATCTCCAAGCCCCTACCGAAGAACAATGGCTAAAAATAATTGAAGGCTTTTATAGGAAATGGAACTTTCCAAATTGCTGCGGAGCAATAGACGGGAAACATATTCAAATACAAGCACCGCCAAATTCTGGAAGTCTGTTTTATAATTATAAGAAAACATTTAGTATTGTTTTGATGGCAGCATGTGATAGTGACTACAAATTTACGTTGATAGACTGCGGATCATATGGTAGTAGTAATGATGCAGGGATATTTTCAAGGTCCGATTTTAATAAAGCTTTAGTCAATGGCAATTTACATCTACCACGAGGCGAAAGCATCTTACCCGGAAGTGATAAAAAGTCACCATGTTTTTTTGTCGCGGATGAAGCATTCCATTTATCTACAAATCTAATGAGACCATATTCTGGACGAAATTTGGAATCAAAAAAAAGAATCTTCAACTACAGATTATCACGAGCCCGAAGAGTTATCGAAAATAGTTTTGGAATTCTGGTATCAAGATGGCGAATATTTAGAAAACCCATTTGTATGCACCCAAAAACTGTAGACACAATAGTAATGGCGACAATATGTTTGCATAATTTTTTGAAAACAATAAATGATTTAACGTCAATGGAAAACAGAATATACTGTCCACCCAACTTCGTAGACACAAAGCAAGAAGATGGAAGTATTGTTTCTGGAGCATGGCGAAATGAATATAGTACAGCTGTTCAGTGTATCAGATCGAGTACAGCTCACCGATCGACGATTGAAGCATATAAACAACGGGATATTATTGCAGATTATTTTTTGAGTGCTGTTGGTGAAGTTCCATGGCAGTACTCTTACATTCGTAGAGGCTTACATTGTCCCGATATGGAGTAAAGAATTAATATTATGTTTGTTTTTTTTATTTAGAATAAGGAAAATTTTTCATATATATGTATTAATATTTTTTACTATTTTTATAATCCTTGGCGCTTTTTTCAAGTTCTTAAAATAGAGAATATTAATTAATGTTATGAATCATATTCTAAATAATTCGCAGAAATTTAAAATATTAATTATATTTGCTAACAATTTTGTTTCTGACCCAATTATATATTTTAGAAAAAAATGTAAAATTAATCTTAAATATTTTAACTTTTACATATGTTTGGTTTGTATAATAGAAGAATATCATACACTTACTGTATGTAGAATTTACACAGAGTTTACCACTTTTCAATTAATTCTTCATAGTACAAGTACGATTGAATACGATTGAATATGATTTAATAGTTAGAATATTATTCGAAAATGTACCAAAAATATTTTATGTTACCAAATTATTTACGGATTGTAATAGAATTTAATTATAATATATTTAATTATAAATAAAATACATAAATATATATAAATGCGCTTTGAAATAAAAAATACCTTTTTAATAAATTTCCATATAATTTATTTTTATAACTTGATTTAACTCTTCTAAGTAATAGATAGATATACATAAGGATGAGTCTTCAATCTCAACAAATAAAACATAAATATCTTACATTTAAAACATAAATATCTTACATAATTATCTTATCTAGACGCTAAATGTAATGAAAGTAAAAAAATATACGAATTATAAAAGACATGAAACAAAAAATTTATCTTGGGCGCCAAATTATCACATAATAAATCATGAAAAAAATAAAATATAAATATCTTACATTTAAAACATAAATGTCTTAGACGCTAAATGTAATGAAATAAAATATATGAATTATAAAAGACGTGAAACAAAAAATTTATCTTGGGCGCCAAATTATCACATAATAAATCATGAAAAAAATAAAATATAAATATCTTACATTTAAAACATAAATGTCTTAGACGCTAAATGTAATGAAATAAAATATATGAATTATAAAAGACGTGAAACAAAAAATTTATCTTGGGCGCCAAATTATCACATAATAAATCATGAAAAAAATAAAATATAAATATCTTACATTTAAAACATAAATGTCTTAGACGCTAAATGTAATGAAATAAAATATATGAATTATAAAAGACGTGAAACAAAAAATTTATCTTGGGCGCCAAATTATCACATAATAAATCATGAAAAAAATAAAATATAAATATCTTACATTTAAAACATAAATGTCTTAGACGCTAAATGTAATGAAATAAAATATATGAATTATAAAAGACGTGAAACAAAAATTTATCTTAGGCGCCAAATTATCACATAATAAATCATGAAAAAAAACAAGTATCACATTAAACATAACATTCAAATAACTGAAATTATTGTATACATGGTTTCCATAAAATCTCTGCAATTGCTTGTTTTCGTTTACATTTTTCCGGCTCAGGTATTTTTTCTAATTCTATTGCTACTAGTAAACCAAAGCTTTTCTCTGGTGTTAAATTATTTAAATTCCAATCAGTGTGATTATTGTTAGTAGGACACGGTGGATTAACAAGCCGGTTTTGAAGAGTATTACTCAGAGATACAATGGACGATTCCAAGTGTGAGATATTTTTATTTTTTATTTTACCTAAAGAATTGCGAGATTCGCTTCGGAGTGATGATGATCGATCAGATGAGACTGTTTCAATTGCATTGATCTCTTGTGAGGTGTTAGGCCGATCTACCGCATTCTGTACAGTTTGAAATTTTCGGAATGGTGGTAATGATCGATCAGATGAGCCTGTTTCAATTGCGTTGATCTCTTGTGAAGTGCTAGAACGATCTACCGCATTCTGTACAGTTTGAAATCTTCGGAATGGTGGTAATGATCGATCAGATGAGCCTGTTTCAATAGCATTGATCTCTTGTAAAGTGCTAGAACGATCTACCGCATTCTGTGCAGTTTGTAATTGATTTATTTCTTGAAAATGCCGATTACGAGAAAAGTTTGTTTTCGGTGTTTCTTCGGGCACAATGTCAGAAATAAGAGAAAGATTTGAATAAGAGTCTACATGTGCATGCAATAAAGTATTTTTACTAAAATTGTGCTTATCGGTACAAACATTTGATATGTCAACTGCTTTTTTTTTAATAACCGAATTAACCACATTGGTATATGATCTGAAATTTAAAATTAATGTACATATACATATATATAACAATATGTTTATATAACAATGTACCTAGCAAACATAAATATATATAACTGTTATATAATACATAATATAATATGTATGTTACATGCAACGCAAAAGTTAATTTCCCACTCATAAATGGAACATTTGTAATATAATATGTTGCATTGTAGTTACAATTAACATATGCGTTGCATGTAACGAACATATTATATTACATATGTATAACAATTATATATCTGTTTGTTGGTATATATTGTACTGACTATGTTTATGCACTGTATAATACACATATATGTATAAAACAATGTGATGTTTATATATACCTGTATTATAATGACTTAAAAAACTTACTTTCTCCGTCTAATAAATTTTTTAAGGAACATCATGTTGTTATAAAGAATAAATATTGGTCGACGACTAGCTGCACTGCCACTTCGATTTTCTATCTCTTGAAGACGTTGTTCTTTGCTAAACCTTTCACGCAAACGTAGCCAACGAGTCTGACAATTATCAACTACAATGAACAAACATACATATAAATGTAATAAATATAAATTCAGAAAATTATTAAAATAAATAATAAAATATTACCTGACATATTCATAAGTGATGCGATTTCCCTCCATGAATTCTCTTTTATTTTTGTATCTTTATATTCTTTTAAAGAAGTGTCATACAAATGAGGATATCCTCTAACTGCATCGATTAATAATTCATCGTTTGTTTTATCGTTTCCTTCATCAAATTGAGGGACTTCATCATCCTCATCGATTTGATCATTCATATCATCCGGGAAATTTTGAGAATAATATGCGTGTTCCATTTTCTTGTTATTAAACCTCTGTAACCTATAACTTTCATTAACACAATGAGATATCTAAACTATCTATATAATTACTGTATTTTATATAAAACAAAACTTACTTTTTTGTTTAATAATAATTTCTTCAGGAAAATTTCTTAGGAATACATAAAATAATATTATATAAATAATATTCAATTTCTTCGGGAGATAGAAAATCGAAGTGCTGCGTAATCACCGAGTCTAGTAACTTCTTTATGATTGGTTCACCGTAAAACTTAAAACTTAGAATTTCATCCTTGTGGAATATTTCAACCTTACGTTCTGAGTTTTAAGTTTTAAAATGGCTGCTTTATTGCTCGACTGTGATTGGTCGATTTGCTTATGCTTAAGTCTTATTGCTTATTTTTTTTTATGTGCCACGGCCTTTAAGGCTATAGCACACACTTTCCATAAGACATAACAGTAAGGTTTCGATTAATCGCGTTGCTCAATTTGGCCGTAACTAAATTGGTCACGCGATTGGTCGAAATCTTAAGATGCAAATTCATGGGACGCTAAAAAGTAGCGTCAACCATTGGTTGGAATGTCTATCTGATCATTGCGTATTAAACATCCCTAAAAAATTACCCTTTTAAAAAAAAGGTAAAAAAAGGCTAAGTCCGCGTAAAAAACAGTATATGTATTTGCAAAATAGTATTATTAACTGTAAAAAAACTACTGTATTGTATATCCTACAAAAATAATGATATCAAAAAAATTGCGCTAAGTGAAAATAAAAACTTATGAAAATACTTTAACCAAAAAAAGTTATACAAAATAGTTGTTTTAATTTTCTACATCATATCTTAGAAAAATAATGATATCCAAAAATTACGCTAATTGAAAATAAAAACTTAAAATAATTTAACTAAAAAAAATTGTACAAAATAATTGTTTCAATTTCCTACAAATAATATTAAAAAGTTGCGCCAACTGAATAAAAATTTTTACTATAAAATAGACATATTTCTTTTTTATTTTCAATATTAAAAGAAAAATGATATTAAATGAATTGCAATATATCTATTATAAAAAATCGAATTGAAAATATGAACAATCATATACATTGCAATAATCATATGCATATATCCTGAAAAGTTTAATTAAAAAAAAAAAAGAAAATGATAATACAAAATTAAAAATTATTCAAAAAATTAAAAATTAGAAATTAATAAATAAAAAATAAAAATTTATATAAAAATTAAAAATTAATACATATAAAAAAAATTTAGTTAAAAAACTTAGCGCTGCTAATTTCATTAGCACATTGTTCAACGTAGCAATTAGTAAAATATTATTAGTAGTATTATATTATTAGTAAAATATTTATTTCTCGATTATCTTACCTTAATACTTTTATGTACAAAATAATGAGAGGAATCAATTAGTGTAAAAAAAACACACAGTTGTTTTTAAGAAAAAATATGTAATTGTTAATTGCAAATTACATATTTTTTCTTCGGAACAATTATGTGTTTTTTTTTAGACCAATTGATTCCTCTCATTATTTTGTACATAAAAGTATTAAGGTAAGATAATCGAGAAATAAATATTTTATTAGATATTTTATAGTTTATGTAAAATTAAGATATTATTTTAAACCTTATAAATCGAAAAGTATTCAATGAAAAAATACTTTATTATAGTGTTTTGGAAAGCTCTCGACATAAGCTATAAGAATATGCAATAAAAAATAGGTGATTCCATTTAAGAAATTAAAGGTGTTCTTGACCTGACCTTAACGATGCCATCCAAGGTCAAACCAATGACACCATCTTATGTTCCCCTCAAAACCATACAATTTTTGTCGAAAACGTTTTTCTCTAAAATGCTTAGTTTTTGAAAGAAAAGGGGTGTACGGGTGGTCTAGGACACCCTGTATACAAGGTGTCCCATTTTAATCGATGGATCCAAATTTCTCCTAAACTACGCCAGCTACAAAAAAATGTTTTAGACAAAAGTTGTATGGTTTGAAGGGGGACATAAGGTGATGCCATTGGTTTGACATTGAAGAGTCACCTAAAGGTTACGTGAAGATCACATCCAACTTTTTAAATGGGACATCCTATATGATTTTACATATTCTTATAGTTCATCTCGAAAGCTTTCCAAAACACTATAATTAAGTTAGTTTTCATTAAGTAGTTTTCGAGTTATGAGGCTTGAAATCATTTCTTAATTTTACATAAATCGTAAATATCTAGTAAAATATTCATTTTTTGTTTAACTTAATACTTTTGTGTACAAAATAATAAGAGGAATCAATTGGGGTTTAAAAAAAACATATAACTGTTCCGAGGAAAAAAAAATGTAATTTGCAATTAACAATTCCATATTTTTTCTTAAACAACTGTATGTTTTCTTTACACCATTTGATTCTGCTTATTATTTTGTACGTAAAAGTATTAAGATAAAAGTATTAAGTATAAAAGTATTAAGATAAGATAATCGAAAAATGAATATTTTACTAGATATTTTACGACTTATGTAAAATTAAGAAATGATTTCAAGTCTCATAACTCGAAAACTACTTAATGAAAATTAACTTAATTATAGTATTTCGGAAAGCTCTCGAGATGAACTAAAAAAATATGCAAAAGCACATAGGATGTCCCATTTAAAAAGTTGGATGTGATCTTCACGTAACCTTCAGGTGACTTTTCAATGTCAAACCAATGACACCACCTTATGTTCCCCTTCAAGCCATACAACTTTTGTCATAAACATTTTTTTGTAGCCGGCGTAGTTTAGGAGAAATTTGGATTCATCGATTAAAATGGGATACCCTGTATATAATAGTCTTAACATCACGGAGCGCCGCTAGCGCAATTTTACGTCGAATGCGGCAAACGTACAACTTTTTACGCTTGCGCATTGGGGACTTGAGCGACGATGACCAAGGAGACGTTTCTTAATGAAAATTTTTCATATTTCGACTTTGGATCATATTATTGCTGTTCACGATGCACGTAGAGCAAAAATAAAGACACTTTTCTTATATAAATCAACCTCAAGCTATCCATTAAGCCTAATAAGAACTCGATCCGTTCAGCGATTATTTCAATATGATAATCTCGAATATCTCCAACTATCCAACTCGCGTAAAGATACACGGCGCGTCTTGTTGCTTACGCGGGACTTAGCACAAGACACTACCGTGTCTCTTGATATATTATGTAAAATACAACATGCGCACACGTATTTTGGTATTAAATCGGTTCTTTGCATTGACAGTTTATCTAATAGATTTCGGAACCTTCCTTTCAACAAACCAATTGATCACTCTATCATTATCCTGGCTTGAGATAAGTGGGTATTATATGTTATTTGTGCTTGCGTCAAATGTCCATTGTCCTTAAATGGCACCATTATATGTTTCTGAATGCTGTATGCAGCATCGCCTAATATGTGACTGTTTTCAGGAAAATTTACGTCAGTACACATGTTTTCAAAACCAGAAAGTTTAAAAACTCTCATATCGTGTACTGATCCCACTTGTCCTATACGTGAGTAAATTTCAGTTCATGATCACATATTATCTGGAAAGAACGAATAACATTATAGTTTATTTTAAAAATTTTTATTTATAAAATTTTGTAATTCTAAAATAATGGATTTAATATTTAAAAAATACTTGTAATTGAATGGTAGATTTATGTAGGCCTTTCGATTTATGTAGGCTTCTGGATGCTTTTTCGGTGCAATAATTTTTATATGTGTACCATCTATCGCTCCTTATAACTTTCGGAAATTTATATTTATGTTTAACATATGAGCAGATTTGTTCAGCTCTTTCTCTACTGGGCCATGTGATAAATGTGTTGAGATGTAAATACAATGCTTTACATCTTATGAACACATCTCCAAGCGGTTGCCTTACCAACGTCAAAACGATCTGCAACACACCTAGTAGAGTACATAAATGATTAAATGTCAAATCTAATTAAATGTCAAATCTCTGTATATTAATATATGATGGATATATAGCTCAAGTTTTAGATCTCAAACTGTTCCTAAAGTATAAATAATATTTTCTCATTTCAACATTTAAATGAATGATTTATAAGTAAATTAAGATATAACTAAGTAGTAAATTAAGATATAACTAAAGTTAATACGCTAGGCACTATTTAATTTGAATTGGAATGTAAGATAAATTTCAGAAGACTGAAGTTTGCTAAAGCATTTTAGTTCAGTGAAAATAACTGATTACATTAATACATTTGTAAAACATGTACCTGTATGAATTTGGAGTTGCCATCATCCATGTAGCTAGTAATAATATTTTTTCTGGATCAATAGTCTTTCGACCAAGACTCCCAGACTTTGACAATTGCGGAGTTAACAATTTCAACAAAAAACAGAATGTTGATCTGCTCAAGCTATGAAACACAAAAATGTAACATGAAATTTACTGCATATAAAAAATAAGCATTATATATACAGGGTGATTCAAAATAATCCCTGTGTCCGTGAAATGACATATTGTTGAGTCAATTCTAAGACGATTTTTCCTTTTGCAAAATTTCGTCCGAAGCTTAGTTTTCGAATTATTAAAGAAAGTAGTTAATGCATGACGGGTCGGATACAAGAGGCAGGCAAGGGTGACGCAAATCACCGTCAGACGCAGGCGCTTACGCGGGGCGCCTGCTGCGATCAGCTGGTCGCTATACACATACAGACACACATGCGAACACATACATTCTCTCTCTGTCTGCTCTTTCCCTCTCTCCCTCCCTCCCTCTCCCTCCCTCCCTCCCTCTCCCTCTCTCCCTCCCTCCCTCTCTCCCTCACACCCTCCCTCTCTCTCTCCCTTCCTCCCTCCCTCCCTCCCCCTCCCTCCCTCTCCCTCTCCCACTCCCTAACCTCTTCCTCTCTCTCTCCCTCCCCTCCCTCCCTCTCTCCCCTCCCTCCCTCCCTCCCTCCCTCTCTCCCTCCCTCCCTCTCTCTCTCATTCGCTCACTCATCTGTAATTTTTTTTTTACGAGAGGGGAAAATGCATTTTATG